CACTCGCACGTGCAAGGGCATGGAGGTTGATGAGCACCGGTTGATCCTACGTTCCACAGGAGAAACAAGAATAGTGGCGCCGAAGGTAAAGAAAGGACCAAGGGAGCAGGGGTGGGCGTTTGAAGAAAGCAGGCCAAGAAAGCAGGGCAAGAAAGGTACACATTTGCCCTGCACGCTGGTGGCAGCCATAGGTAGCAGACAAAAATACTTTATCTCTCGGGATGCGCTTCCTTGCGCGTTTACCGACCCACACTGCAAGCATTCAATTTCCTGTAATGCGTGCCTGTGGGAGGGGGGCTAGTGCTACAACTTAAATGCTATGGGGCTCCCCTCCTGCCGGCTAGCTCCCCCTCCCCAGCATGGGGTGTATCACGTTGTGAGGTGGGGAGGGATCCCCTGTTCCGTCTGAACACGTGTGTTTGCGCTATGTATGATCACTGCACCACTGCAGCGGTCGCGGGTCGGTCTAATTTCAGTTTTCACGCTCGGGGGTATGATAGCACGACCATGAATTCTTACTCATGATATCAACAGACCCATCATTATATCACAAATCATGTGCAAATCATGCTATTCTCCATGATTTCATAGAGCCGGGGTTTTCTAGATGGCGAGGTTGAGGTCAAAGTGCAGCCAGGGTGGCGAGGTCATGAAATCATCAAATTTTGAACTTGCCCGAGACAGCCCGGAAATCAACTTTTTATCTCGCGTTCTTCCCAAACCGAGTCCTCTCTACAGTTACATACTTACTTTTCATTTAAGATCCCCGAATGGCCACACTACTCTTCACACACAGTGCAGTGATGTGCAGCGCAGCAGTATAGGCACACTAGACTGCCAAACACTCGTCCGGATCGTCGCGCCTTCTGGGGCCGGTTCTGCAGCCTGGGCGACGAGCGCGAGACACGGTGGGGCTAGAGGAGAGCGCCCCGAGACGACTCCGTCGTTGCAAGCGCTAAATCAAGCGAAGTGTGTCTGCGCACGCGCACACGCACGCGCATTTGCGCTGCCTACTGGTGGCGCTGCAGTAAAGCCGTATCTCCGTCTGTCCTTTGTTTCCGACCCCGAGGCAGTAGACATCCTAGTAGACATAGTAGACATAGTAGACATAGTAGACATAGTACTTAGTAGACATAGTAGACATAGTAGACATAGTAGTAGACATCGACGTCAAAGGAGCAGATGCCGGCGCTAGTTGCACTCTGGGCAGCCCGCACAGTTGAGCTGCCATTTGCACTTCGTCGCCCACGAACTGCACAGGGGCCGGGAGGGGTGAGGAATGCTTGCGCATATTTGGCCGGTGAGTGGGGGGTACACATGCGAGGTGAGTGGGTGCGTAGGAGAGTGTGTGGGAGACAGAGAAGGGCTGCACGCACTTTCCATTGTTCGCGCACCAAGGTTTGCAATTGGGCGGCGGCGGCGTCACAGCGTCGCACTCTGGGCAGCCCGCACAGTTGAGCCGCCAATTGCACTTCGTCTCCCACGAACTGCAGAGTGAGGGCCGGGAGGGGTGGAGGGTGAGGGGTGCTTTCCCTGCGCATTTGGCATGCACATGCACATGCAACATGCACAGGTATAGGTGCAGGTGCATGTGAGGTGCGTAGAATGGAGAGTGGGGGTTAGAGGAGGGCTGCACGCACTTTGGATTCTTTGCGCACCAAGGCTTGCACGGGGATGGCGAGGCGGACGGAGGCGGCGGCGAAGGCGACGGAGGCGGCGGCGGCGGCGGCGAAGACGAGGGCGAAGGCTCCGGCGAGGGTGAGGGCTCAGGCGACGGCTCTGGCTCAGGCGAGGCCGACGGAGGAGGCGGCACGGGCCGGGCGGACGGCGACGGCGAGGCCGACGGAGGAGGCGGCACGGGCCTGGCGGACGGCGACGGCGAGGCCGACGGAGGAGGCGGCACGGGCCTGGCGGACGGCGACGGCGAGGCCGACGGAGGAGGCGGCACGGGCCTGGCGGACGGCGACGGCGAGGCCGACGGAGGAGGCGGCACGGGCCTGGCGGACGGCGACGGCGAGGCCGACGGAGGAGGCGGCACGGGCCTGGCGGACGGCGACGGCGAGGCCGACGGAGGAGGCGGCACGGGCCGGGCGGACGGCGACGGCGAGGCCGACGGAGGAGGCGGCACGGGCCTGGCGGACGGCGACGGCGACGGCGAGGCAGATGAAGGCGGCGGAGGCACGGGCCCGGCAGATGGCGGCGAAACGGTGGAGTTGCCGGTGATGAGGTACACGTCGTAGGCCCCTGCAAGCGGTCAGGGCGGGTGAGTTGAGACGGGGTTCTTGGGGTAGGCGGTCTGATTGAGGGCAGGACTTGTGGCACCGCAGTTGTCGAGGGAATTGTCAAGTGTGGAGGATAGTAGGAGGTGTGAATGGGAGGTGTGAATAGCACCGCAGTTGTCGAGGGAATTGTCGGTGCCGCACACTCCACGGTCGCCCTCACAAACGTCGCCTGCATGGGGGCACAGCGGCGCCAGAGTGAGCGCGCTCGACGGGGGAGGGACGAGCAGGCGAGGAAGCGGGGGGGGCGGGCGCCGTAGGTGAGCTCGCACGAGTCGCAGTTCGGGAGGAAGTTCATCCCGTTAGGAGGGCACTCGGACGGCGCAACCGCGATCAGCGTGCGATACTCCGGCACGCTGCACGAGGTTGTGCACGTGAGTGGTGGGCCCGGGCCGGGCGGCGGCGGCGAGGGGCTGGGCGGAGGCGGCGGAGGCGGCGACGCTGCTGGCGGCGACGGCGGAGGCGGCGACGCCGCGGGCGGCGACGGCGGTGAGCCCGGCGACGGCGGAGGCGACGGCGGACTGGGCGGGCCGGTGGTCAGGCACGAGGCGACGTCGGCCGCATCAAACTTGTTGTAGAGCAGCTTGTTGGCGGTGTCCGCCGGCAGAGGCTGGGTGACTGCATCCTTGGTGGACATGCAGAGCATCGCGTCCGTCACCTCCTCGGGGGTGAGCGCCGGGTGGAGTGACCGAATCTGCGCCGCCACGCCAGCAGCGTGCGGCGTCGCCATGGACGTGCCTGCGTCGTGGCCAAAGGGATGGACGGGGGCGGGAGGCTGGGGTCGGGGGCAAGGGTGTAGCGCACCCGAGATTGTCCTCGTGGCGTCGTCGGCGCCGGACCAAGCCGCCTTGATATCGCGCCCCGGCGCAAAGATGTCCATGCAAGGCCCGTAGTTGGAGAAGGAGGAGCGACCATCGTCGATATCGGTCGAGCCGACGGTGATAGCCTCCAAGGTTGACGCGGGCGACTTCTGGCACGCGTCGCCGTTGTTGTTCCCTGCGGCGACAACCGTGAGGACTCCCGCCGCCATCGCCGCCTGGATGACGGCGTCGTACCGGTTCGCCCCGCCCCCGCCGAGGGACATCGAGAGGACCGCCGGGAGGTCGCGACTCTGCGCGTCGGCGACCGCCCACTCGATGCCCGCCATCACGCCGGCGTAGGAGCCGGAGCCGCCGCACGAGAGCACCTGGACGGTGATGATGGTGGCGCCCCTTGCAACGCCGTAGACGGTGCCGCCGGCGGTCGAGGCGCAGTGGGTGCCGTGGCCGTTGCAGCGAGAGGAGCTGGAGTCAATCACGCCCTGGTAGACGTAGCCGGACACGTCGTTGCCGCACGAGCTCTCGCTGCCCGTCGGGCAGCCAGCGGACCAGCCGGCCAAGGCGCGGCCGCCAAAGTCGACGTGGCCGATGCGGACGCCTGCCGCACGGCGGTACGAGGGGCGCGGTGCGAGGGGCGCGGTGCGAGGGGCGCGGTGCGAGGGGCGCGGCGCGAGGGGCGCGGTGCTAGGCGTGCCGGTGTCGAGGATGTAGACGAGGGAGCCAGAGCCGGTGACTCCGGAGTCGTCGTAGAAGCCGTCGGTCCCATCGCGGCTGTCGATGCGGTCGATGCCCCACGCTTGAGCTGGCACTGGCGCCCCCGGAGGGAGGTCGTCGAGCTGGATGATGCAGTTGGGCTCCAGCTCCACCTCGCTATCGAGGACAATGCTGTCGAGGATGGAAGCGTTGACAGGAGCGATGGCGACCATTCGGGCCATTGGCAGGCGCTGGACGATGTTCGCTCCATACAGGTCGAGTTTCTTGACGAGCTTGGCGACGCAGGCCGCGCCCGAATCCTGCGGGGGGCGGTCGATCCTGAGTGCGGGATCGGTATATTTGATGGTAAGCGGGAAGTGTTGCGGGTTTGAGCAGGCGGCGATACCTGAGTCGTGAATCGCGCCGACTCGTGAACGAGGAGGCCGGCGGCTCCGTTCTTCCCGCACGAATCGACTGCTGCTTGGAGGCGTCGCTTGCGCTCAATGCCGAGGCGCGTCGGCGCGGCCGTCGCGGCCGCGAGGAGGAGCACGAGGGTGGTGGTGAACAGCAGCATACCACTTATGCCCGACTGGGAGTTCGCTTTAGGCGTTTTGCTGGCGGTGATGATATCACGTAGGGAAAAAACAAGCAGCAGTCGGAACAAGCCAGCAAAACGCGTAAAGCGAGCTCCCCCGTGCAACATGATAAAGCGAGCCTGGCCGATTCGGTGCCCGGCGCCGAGCTTTAGGGGCTGTGTACTGGAATCCCTGTGTGGTGGCGCGCGCGCGGCTGCAGGCGAGGCGAGGCGCAGGCGCAGGCGAGGCGAGCGAGGCGGGGAGCCCTCCTCCAACCCACCCGCGCTAGGTCTCGGGGGACGCAGAGGTCACACCCGACGACCTCGGGAACTAGCCGGGGCAGTCGGAGAAGGGGCAACTCCGTGCACTGACGGTCGGCCGTCAGAAATCACGCCTGCGTGGATCGCGTCACACCAATCCTCGCTACCCAACGCGGCCAAAGGATATCCACCTCGAGAACCTCGAGACATGAAGGTAGGTAGGTAGAAAGGTGAAGAACAGCCAGGCTCGGACTGGACACCAACGCGGTATGGGTGGACGCTAGACAGATGATGACGACACGCACGAGCGACACACAGACACAAACAGGCTCATCTCACAACGAAGAGAGATGCAGTGAGGCGGAGCCTACCCTGGAGCCGTACAGAGCTGTTCTTTTTTTATCGGATTACCCAAAAGGTACCATGCGACTCCGCACTACTCCATGCTGCTGTTCTCTACCTCCATCTCAGAGGACGTACTTGACTCACTCACGGTGGCAGATAAAGGCCTTGAACGCAGAGGGAGGGGGCGCGGGCGCGGGCGTAGGCGCGGGCGCGGGCGAGCGATGCTGAGAAGGCGGCGGGGGCGTTGGCTGGCCGAGGCCCGCCGCCGCCACCGCGTCGGCGCTTGCTCGCTGGTCAAGCTTTGCAAGGCAGACGTGCCCTCGCTTCGGGGCGCCGCAGCGCTGGCACCGATTCTTGAACGCATGCCCAGCCTCGCGCAGCTTGCGCCCCTTCTCGATCCGCTGCCAGCGGTTGCGCACGGACGAGACGGTCCGGCCTGCGCAGCGAGGGCTCGCTCAGGCCAGAGGTACGAGCTGCCTTGCTCTCCTTTTGTGAGGCGGCGGCGAGGAGCGAGCGGTGGGGACGACGCTGCCAAATGTCATTGAGAGCAGCGACGGCGGCGCGGACGGTGCTTGCGGGAGGCGAGAGGGGCACACGCGCCTGGTAGCGAGACCGCGATGCGAGACCAATTTGGGCCGAGACCACTTTGGGCACACTCACCGAGCAGTCGCAGGATCGTTAAGTCCTCCTCGGGCTCCCACGCCCGCATATGCTCGTGCACGCCGCCTGTCATAGCGCGTCTGTGGACTGTGGATGGGAGGAGCGGGGTCGGTCGTGCCGTCGCGCAAATCGCGCCTTTCTGTAGCGGTCGTCCTCGCGTTTTTTCCACTCGACCGGCCGAGGGTCCGGCGCATGAGATGAGAGCGGCGGGGGCCTTGGCGGTGGCGGAAGCCATCGCCTGACCGTCTCCGCTGCCAGCGGCACGGGCATTCATGCTGCCGTCGCCGCCGTTGCTGCCGCCATCACTGCCCTCACATCCACGGGTACCCGCGCTTCCGCTGCCACTAGCGCCTGCTCCGCCGCCGCTGCTACTGCCTCCCGCGCCGCTGCCATCTCCCGCTCTATGCCCCCCGAGAGTTCGAGCGATATGGTCCGATTACGTACCGAGCGAACAGGCGAGGGAGATCGGAGACGATCCGGACGAAGCCGCTCTCGCATCTGCTATGGTCTCTCTCTCGATGCAAAACACGCTCGCCGACTTGGCAACAAGGGTTGACTCCCTCGCGCTAGGCGACGAACAACCTGCCCCCGCCCCTCAGGGCGGGGGCCCCCGCCCCCCCGGGGGGCCCTTCGGGGCCCCTCGAGGGGGCGACCCCTCCGGGAAGGCCGGCTTTCCCCGTGCCGGTTCTCCCCAACCAACCCCGCCGGCAGCGCGAGCTGCCGGCCATATTGAGCGGTTCAACCGCGTCGCGCACTCGTCCCAACCGGCGGGCCGTGCAGACAGTCGTCCTGCGCGCCAACGGCTGGTGACGCTGTGTTGCCCTTGAGCTAGTCCTTCCCCGGTCGCCTAGCCTCTGCGCTGTCTGGCGGACGCCTGTATGCCATGCGCGCGGACCACGCTTGCGTGGATACGTGGCTGGCAGGCTGACCCGTGTGCGGGGTAACCCGCGCACGGGGAAGCTTCACGGGTTCGAGTCGTCAAACACTAAGCACAGCGCGGGGGTGTGCCGAGGGGGACTGGGAGGCGGTAAGCCGTCGTCGCCCGGCGCTGCTTGCAGCACCATGGCGATGGCGCTAAGAGGTTCCTCTTTTCCGCGCCCCCCCCGCAAGGCGCGCGATATACACACCGTACCACTACCAACCTAACCGTAGCCTACCGCGCTGGTGGTAGTTGAGGTCGAGTATCTCTCGAGGTTCTCGAGGTTGATATCCTTTGGACGCGTTGGGTAGCGGTGTGACGCGATGTTTTCACCTTTGTCTGCCGCCGTCCCAAAGTCCTCATCTCTCGGTCGGCGGCGGTGGCGTGGGGCAGGGTAAAGCGCGCCAACACGCTGCGACCACACACTCAACACCAATCGTCGCTACCCAACGCGGCCAAAGGATATCAACCTCGAGAATTTCGAGGGACTGTGCGAACGGTGTTCTGACCCTCGGCAGATCACAATGTGATCCCGGCCTGGCAGACGGTGAACGAGCTAGCGTGCGGGGACAGCGGCATTGTGCACGGAGCTAAGTGCATTGCCGTTCTTAACGGAGTCGCTTAGGCGGCTCCGGTGGTGTGCCGGTGATAGTACTAGCACGCGCCAGTTCGCACCTGTGTCGAGCCTGTGTGCTGTGAGAGAGAGTTGTCTGTTTAAATTCTTTTCCTCGCGATGTCCACCCCGCCGCGCCGCCGCTCGCGCCGCCTCAACCCCCCCGCCACCGCCGCTCCCCCGCCAGAGACGCCGCCGCCCGCCCGCCTCCTCGACCTCCCCACGGAGCTCCTCGTGCGCGCCCTCTCCCGCTGCGACCCCGTCGACATCGCTCGCGTCGCGGCCGTCTCGCTTCTCTTCCACGCCTCGCTCGCGGTAGAGGCCATCCGCTTGTGGGCGCAAGAGCGCGGCTTCGAGCTGCCGGCGCAGCCAGAGGGCGAGGGCTGCGCCGTGCGGTGGCTGTGCTTCGCTGCGCTGCTGCGCGAGGCCAACCTGCCGGCGAGGGCGGCGGGAGGCTCTCGGCACAGCCTCTTCATCGACGGTGAGGGGCGGCTCTCATCGTGCGGCACGGCTGAGAATTGGCGGCAAGGCCTCCTCGGTCACGGCGAGGGCGTGACGCAGCTCAAGACGCCGACCCGCCTCCCTTCCCCGCTGGGCGGCGAGCGCGCCGTGAGCGTGACGTCTGGACTCGTGCACAACCTCGCCCTTGCCGCCGACGGTGCCGTCTGGAGCTGGGGCATGGGAGGCTTTGGCCAGCTGGGCCACGGCGACGAGCAGAGCCAGCTGCTGCCGAAGAAAGTCGAGGCCTTGGCAGGGCGTGTCGTCGCTGTCTCGGCTGGGCTGCACCACAGCCTCGCTGCCACCGCTGACGGTGCCGTCTGGAGCTGGGGCCAGGGAGGCGTTGGCGAGTTGGGCCACGGCGACCAGCAGAACCAGCAGCTGCCCACGAAGATCGAGGCCTTTGTCGGCCAGCCCGTTGTCGCTGTGTCGGCTGGAGCCGGGCATAGCCTTGCCCTCACCGCCGACGGCAGCGTCTGGAGCTGGGGCTTTGGATACTATGCCCAGCTCGGCCACGGCGACCGGCAGAGCCGGCGGCTGCCGAAGAAGATAGAGGCCTTTGCTGGCCAGCACGTCGTCGCTGTGTCGGCTGGAGGATACCACAGCCTCGCCCTCACCGCCAACGGCGCCCTCTGGAGCTGGGGCGGTGGTGTCTACGGCTGCTTGGGCCACGGCGAGGAGCAGGACCAGCTGCTGCCCAAGAAGGTCGAGGCCTTTGTTGGGCCGCGCGTCGTCGCTGCGTCGGCTGGGGAGTTCCACAGCCTCGCCCTCACCGCCGATGGCAGTGTCTGGAGCTGGGGCGGTGGAGACTCAGGCCGGCTGGGCCACGGCGACGGGCAGAACCAGTTACTGCCCAAAAAGATCGAGGCGTTGGCGGGGAGGCGCGTCGTCACCCTGTCGGCTGGAGGCCGGCACAGCCTCGCCAGCACCGCCGACGGCGCCGTGTTCACCTGGGGCAAGGGGGAAAGCGGCTGCCTTGGCCACGGGGAGGACCTGTCGGACCAGCTGCTGCCGAAGAAGATCGAGGCGTGGGCGCTGGGGCAATGAGGTATGGGGGGCTCTGCACGGCGGGCAGTTTAGTGGCTCAGCTGCACGAATAGAGGAGCTTGTTGGAGTCGATCAGCCCGCGCGGTGTGCGGCGGGGTGTGAGAGCATCACAGTGACGAGGGCGACGAATCAAGAGACCGTTGTGATGGCGTGATAAACGTGGTGGACAAATGTATGATCTAAAACGGTGGTGGACGCACGACAGAGCAGCGACCAGGAGGTGAAGGTATGTACCGGCTCTACCAGAAAGTTTTGAGATGAACAAAAGGTCACGCCAAACTACCCCTCCCTGGTGGCTGTCCTGGGCGAGGGTGCGCTCGCGCAGCTGCGGCGTGTCACGCCGCCTTTCGCTTCTTCTCCCCAGAAGGCAGCAGCCCGAGCTGGCGCCCCGCCTTGAGCACAATCAGCCCGAACCAGTAGTAGTGCAGCGCCACGAGGAAGAGGAGCGGCAGCACGTAGAGCGTGTACGCGACGCCGATCACCTGGACGCAAGAGGAGCCGAGAGGTGCCGAGATGAGCCGAGAGGGGCCGAGAGGAGCCGAGAGGAGCCGAGAGGTGGCGAGAGGAGCCGAGAGGTGCCGAGAGGTGCCGAGAGGAGCCGAGAGGAGCCGAGAGGAGCCGAGAGGAGCCGAGAGGAGCCGAGAGGAGCCGAGAGGTGCCGAGAGGTGCCGAGAGGAGCCGAGAGGAGCCGAGAGGAGCCGAGAGGAGCCGAGAGGAGCCGAGAGGAGCCGAGAGGAGCCGAGAGGAGCCGAGAGGAGCCGAGAGGTGCCGAGAGGAGCCGAGAGGAGCCGAGAGGAGCCGAGAGGCGCCGAGAGGTGCCGAGAGGTGCCGAGAGGTGCCGAGAGGTGCCGAGAGGTGGCGAGAGGTGCCGAGAGGAGCTTAGAGGAGCCGAGAGGCGCCGCTCACTTTGAGGCCGACGAAGTCGAACACCTCGAGGTAGTGCGTTGTGTCGAGCAGCGCGGACGCGACGACGTAGCGCGGGAAGGCGTACAGCCGCAGCGCCGCCCACGAGGCCAGCGTGGCGAGGACGGAAGCGTACAGGCCTGCATTGTGAATACGCCAGCCTCGGGGCGGGAGGACGGTGTTGTGCAGCGTACTCAGAGCTCCGCGTGGATACGAGGGGTGCGAATACAGTCAATACAGCGGAACACACCGGAGTGCAGCGGAGCGCGCGTGTCCTCTAGAGCGCTTTGGGAGACAGGAATCCGCATTCACGCTTCTAGGCGCACAGGCTGCGCGTCCAGCCGAGGGACTGGCACAGGCGAGTCGCGTCGATGGGCAGGTCGGTCGCGTCGTGGATGAAGAGGACGGCGGCGCCGACGCGCACAAACCCCGCGCGCAGCGCGGCGAGCATGACCAGCAGGGTGGCGGCGTGATGAATCAGCATGGGAACGTCACGGCTCGAGCTGTCAGCCGCAAGGGAGAGGAGCATGTGGACGCACGACTCGCCCGTGAAGGCGAGCTCGATCACGTAGTACCCGTACAGCCCGGCGGAGAGGCGAGGCTGCTCGTACTCCCACAGCACGCCCGTGTCGGCCATCCAGCCCAGCGCCTCGCCGCCGATCGCGCCGACGAAGAGCGCGCTGAGCGCGAGGTGGCAGACGGTGAAGTACGACACATCACCGAAGCGGCTCCAGTCGACCTGGTCGGCGCCTTGGCCGCGCACGGCCCTGCCTACCGCCACGCCCGCGCGGCCGAGCATGCGCCGCGCCACCGCGAAGGCGAGCATGAGGCCGACCGCCGGCGCCGCAAAGCTGAACGGGTCGTGGCCTTCCACGAAGCAGTGTCCGTCCGGCGCGGGAGGCATGAGCCACCAGCCGCCCGCCGCGTGGCTGGCGAAGAGGCTCTCCCGGCGAGCCCGCGCCGTGGGACTCAGTGCCTCCATGGCCGGTGCCCTGCTTTCTTTTTTCTCGCCACGGGTTTTCTTTGGAGCAGAGCCCCGGCGAGTCCTCGAAAGAGCTACCCAAATGGGTCTTTGGAGAGGGCACCCTGGGTGGGGCCTCCACTGTAGTCGCAGATTCTTTGCCTTTTACTTACGAGTACCGTACGCGGAGCAGCTGAGTAGAGAGGATCTGTGGTCTTTTGTGTTCACACCTCACCGCGAGGTTTACCGCTGTTTTGGCCTCCTGTGGCTTCGTCGTGGACTCGCCTGCGGCCCCGGGTGCGCGACGACGTCCTCGAGCATGGCCTCAACACCGTGCCAGGTCGAGCTCCTCCAGCAGAACTCCTTCGCACGTTGCACCCTCGGCAAGACCTTTGGCTGCACGGGCGCCTCTTCCATTTGGGTCGCCAACTGCCGCGGCCGCTTCCGCTGCGGTCCGAACGGCGTGCCCTTCCGATGCGGCTTCCCTCCTGGTGCGGCGAAGTACTCGTGCCGCTGCTCGGGCGCTCGTCGGGCCCACACTCCGCTCCAGCTCACCGCGGATGACTTCCGCTCGCTCTCGCCCTACTTTCACACGGCGGACGCCGACCGCCTCGTCGCGAGCGAGACGACGCCGCGATTCTCAAACACGAGCGAGGTGCGCGAGTGGCAGCGCCTCACGCGCGCGCGCCTGCGAGGAGTCTGGACCACGGACAGGCCTCACGCCTCGTGCGCCGTCGTCGGCTCGTCGGCGGCGCTGCTGGCCCGGCGTCTCGGCTCTGAGATCGACTCGCACGCGCTCGTCATCCGGGCCAACCAGGCGTGTGCCACCGCCACCACTTGCACCACTTGCACCACTTGCACCACTTGCACCACCATCACCACCACCACACCACCCCCCCCACCGCCGCCGCCGCCACCACCACCGCCGCCGCCACCGCCACCACCACCACCACACTCACCACCACCACCACCACCACCAGGCGCCGCTTCGTGGGTACGAGGCGCACGTGGGCACGCGCACCGACCTGCGCGTGTGGGGCTTCGTCCCGCTTCCGCGAGAGAAGCGCTACGCGCAGGCCCGCAGCGCAGTGCCCGCCATATCTCCCCATATCTCCCCGTATCTCCCCATATCTCCCCGTATCTCCCCGTGCCCGCCAGTGCTGCCTCCGCCTGCTCGTCGATGAGGAGCACCCACCCCCGACTCGTTCCTAGGCGGAGTGGGCGGCCGAGGACGGGTTCCTGATCTACTGCCCGCCGACCAAGTGGCGCGGCGGCGGCTCCTAGAAGACGAAAGACGGACTCCACGGACTCTCGTCTCCCAACCCGCGCTCGAGAGCAGTACTCGAACGAATCCGGCCGTATTCTCTGGCGGTGTTCGCAACTTCGCAGCCCCTCGTCCTCACGCGGTGCTCCGAGTCCTCTTCCCAAGACCGTCTTCCCGCCCTCCTGCCGGCGTCCTCCTTCTCGCAGGCTACTGCTGGCGCAGCATCGCCACTGACGCCGACCCGCGATTCCACCCGTCAGCGTGGCGGCGCGCGCAGCGGCTGATTCACGTGAACCACACGCGCTGCGCCCGCGTCGGCTGCTACCCGTCGACAGGTGCGATGGCGGTGCTCTACGCCATCGACAACTGCCGCCGAGTCACCGTGTACGGGTTCGGGTCCAACGAGGCGCAGAGGATGCAGTGACGTGACAGACACACACACACGCACGCACGCACGCACGCACGCACGCACGCACGCACGCACACGCACGCACGCACGCACGCACGCACGCACGCACGCACGCACGCACGCACGCACACACACACACACACACACACACACACGCACGCACGCACGCACACACACACACACGCACGCACGCACGCACGCACGCACGCACGCACGCACGCACGCACGCACGCACGCACGCACGCACGCACGCACGCACACACACACACACACACACACACACACGCACGCACGCACGCACACACACACACACGCACGCACGCACGCACGCACGCACGCACGCACGCACGCACGCACGCACACACACACACACACACACACGCACGCACGCACACACACACACACACACACGCACACACACACACACACACACACGCACGCACGCCCCCCCCCCACACACACACACCGCTCACCCGCGCGCACCGGGCCTTGCACTTTGAATGCCGTGGGGCTCCCGTCGTCTAGACGTGGAGACGCGAGGGCCTTGCCTGGCCCTTGCCCCACCGCCCCCGTCGCCCCCCACCCTCTTCGCCGCCCCCGACGCCGCCATCACCGTCGCCACCCCCACCCTCTCTTGCAAGGCGGGCGCGCCGGCATGTGCTCGTACAGACGCGGCGTGCCTCGCGTCCAAGCGGCGCGACCGCACAGCAGCCTGCCGCGACGCGCTCGCCTGCGAGGCTGGCTCGCTCTGCATAAAGTATTCACACACACACACACACACACACACACACACACACACACACACACGCACACACACACACACACACACACACGCGCGCGCACACACCGCTCACCCACGCGCACTGGGCCTTGCACTTTGAATGCCGTGGGGCTCCTGTCTTAGACATGGAGTCGCGAGGGGCTAGCCTGGCCCTTGCCCCACCACCTCGTGTGTGTGGAGAAGTTTACCTGACCTGACCTGGCCTTAGGTTGGCTCGCTTTGCCAAAAGTACTCGCCACGGATCGGAGACGTAGAAGCAGAATACGTATTCTTGTATTCCAACTGCGGCTTAACGAGCTCCCGCTGTGTTCAGCTGTATTCACCTCCCTCGTCTTCACGCGGTCCTCTTCAATACCGCCTTCCCGCCCCGAGGTTGGCGTATTCAGCGCGTAGGTTCGGTCGGCTCTCTCCCCACACTGGATTCGACACTCTGGAGGTATGGTACGTAGGCTCGGAGAGCCGATCGGTCTCGCTGCGCGCGCCCGCCACTGCGCTGAGGTGGCGGCGGATAGAGCAGACCATTGCGGCGATGCGTGGTACTGTCGGGCCACAACTCCACAGCTCCACGTACACACGGAGAGCCGCAGGACTCGACGCACGCCGGAGTCTTCTCGGAACTCGCAACTGTCTTTCAGCCTTCTCGGACCCGTCTTTCAGCCTTCTCGCAACCTTCCTGCAGGTGGCGTCGGGCAAGCTCGCCCGCCTCGAGAGCCGCGACGGCAGGCAGCAGTACGGCAAAGCGGACTATTTTGCGGAGACAGCGGCGTACCACGATGTGGTGCAGGAGTGGGCGTGGCTCGGCCGCCTTCACGCGAGCGGCGCGCTGACATGGCGCGGGCAGCCGGCCGTGGCGCCCGATGCGGACAGCTATGGGCGGTGGCACCAAATGGAGCCCACTCGTCGGCGCTGATGAAGGAACGACCGGACCGGACAGTCGCTGTTGATTACGTTACGAACGCCCGACGAGAGCGCTGTGAGAAGACGGAGACGGATGAGGGAGTTCCAATTTGTAAAATGAGATAAAGCCGTACAGTGAAGGATCCGCCTCACTGCATCTCGGACTCGATTCGATTTTTCCCTAGCGTCGTCAAAGTGAGCTGAAAGCTCGCTCGAAGTACGAACAGAGCCGAGATAGCTTTACCCTACGTGTTGAATACAAATACACATGAATTCACAGAGAGGTCTCCCAGGAGCTACTGTATTCAAAAGGCGCGCCGGAACGTACGCGGGCATTTAATTTCACTACTTTCGCTTTCACAGCTCTTTCACACGACTTTATCCGTCACTCGCTCCCTCGCAACTATCGTACTCGGCGGCCAGGCGCGCATCTTAGCCAAGGCTCGCGCCCACACGTGTAGGTGCTTGTGTCAGATACGCGCCCACACGTGCAGGTGCGAGCCCTAGCTAACATGAGCGCCTCCACGTGCAGATGCGCATTTGGCGAGCTCGAATATAAGCGTCTACTCGTGCAGGCGCTCGTTTTAGCTAAGAAACGCGCCTACACGTGTGGCCGCGTACATTGGCTTGAGGTGATATACGCACTTGGTGTGTGATCGATACATTTTTGTCCCCAGGCGCAGTTATTGTTATGGTGTTATGGCTCTCGGGACATAGCAGCCCATAACATGTTATGGGTGTTATGGGTGTTATGGGGCCTATCTCATATGGGCTGCTATGGGAGGGCCGTCCCGGGTCCACGGTGTTATGGCCCGAGAGGCCACGCCGGACTGCTCGCCGCTGGAATTTCCGCTTCGCGCGCTGCCGCGCGCGAGGTAGGTTCGGCATCGATCGCCAAATATTTTCTCTTTTGCCCTCAAGTTAAATTCAATAACACATACCTGCCTCCTGAGGCTGAGCGATGGCTTCAGATTGCTCAATCAAGACCAGCCCCCCCCCCCCCCTCACGCAATTTGCTTCCCGTTTCTAACTCGTACTCTCTGCAGCTCTGCACGCTTCCCTACGTTTTTAATTTGTATGTCTTTCCCGCAATTTAACTCACGTCCTTTTTCTTTCCTTTTTCCACTACATGTCTCGAGGTTTCTAAAAAGTGGGAGGTGTTATGAGGTTTTGGCCGAGTCATAACAGCGCTGTTATGAGGTTGTTAATGCTGGCTGTCATAACAACCAGTGGGAGGTATTATGAGTGCTATGAGGTGTTATGAGGTGTTATGAGGTGTTATGGTAGGGTGGGCATAACAGCCACAACAGCGATGGAGGTGTTATGAGGTGTTATGAGGTGTTATGAGCAGCCAGCCCTGAGGGGTGGCCCGTCTACCGTCTACCGGTAGACCGGGTAGACGGTAGACCATTCACCAGACATAAATCGTCCCCCACCAGACATCGAAGTCAAATGTCAAAGACACCTCTAGGGACTGGCAAAGTGGGCTGCCACACCCACAAAGATGCAGAAAAAGGGGACACCGGCGTGACGTGGCCTCTCGACGGGTTTGTTGAAGCAGAACTTGGTTCGGCGCACGAGAAGAATCTTGTTGGCTTCTAAAAATCTCTCGCACGAGCGAGCACGCACACACGAAATGAATGAATGTTTGCCGCGTGGGTACAGACGCAATTTAGTGGGTTCAGGGACGGTTAAGCGGGAGGATTGAATTCGTATCTCAGGGCAACCTTTTAGTGTACTAGTATCTAGACCGTATAGTGACCGGCGCGCAGCGCCGAAGAAAATTTTGGCAGAAATCGCTTATAGAAATCGGCTGCTGGCTCGCCCGATTTCCCTCGCCGAAACAGAAATCGGCTGCTGGATGCCGACGCCCCGATTTCTATCGCCACGCCTCGCACTGTACACACTCATCGGGCGGAACCGCTCACTGCAGAGCGCCGCCCTCTCGCGGCTCTCGAGAGCGAGTTTTCGCCAGACAGCCACACGTCCATTATGGCCATCCTCGGCCCGCGGCCTCTTGCTGACCTGTCTGCTCTCGAGTCAGGTGGCGCTGCCCCGACTCACCTGCGCGATCGCCGCGACGCCTGCACACCTCCACAGCCGCTGCGCCGCCCGGCCGCGGCAAGCACCTCCTACCTCTCCTCGCGCGTCAGGCAAGGTGGGGGCAAGCGTGGCGGCGCGGGACGCGCGGCGGCGGCGGCGAGCAGCCGAGCGCTCCGTGCGCGGTGAGGCGGCCGGGCGAGGGCGCGGCGGGTGACGGGGCAAGGGAGCAGCCGGGCGTGGAGCGGCAGAGCGCGCGTCTCTGGCTGACAGACGGAGCAGCGACACCGCGCCAGCGGTCGCTGCTCCGCCCCTCCGTCGCGCGCGCCGCGCGCGCGCTGCGCCGCTGCCACTGTTATCACTGGAGAGCGTGAGCCGTGGCGTGTGTGCGGGAGCCGCACGGTGCGGCGAGAGAGGTCTCCACACTCCAGAGGTGAGAGCAACCCAGCAAGCGCGCGAGAGTGGAGAGACCCGAGAGACGGTGCGGCGAGAGAGCGCGTGTTTTCTTGTTGTAAAATACTCAAACACATGCCCTCCAACCGGGTGGCGCGCGGCGGGCCGGCAGCGCCGAGCGCTGCACCTGCAGCGTGGCGGCTGGCGCCCTGGCGCGCACCGCAGGCGCGCGCGCGGCGGTAGGGGACGTTCGAGCCGAAGTCCTGGAAGGAGAGCGTCTGCGGATTCAGCTGCGCCTGCTCAGGAAGGGCGCGCGCTACCTCTCAGACGCGAGCGCAGAGCCACAGCCGTGCGTATGGCTCTCGTTTCAGGAGGGCAGAGACCAGGCGCGTGTGCGGCGCTCTGCTGCGGCAGCAGAGGCGAGGGCCGGATCGGCAACTCGGACGCGTCGATCTCGAGCAGGTGCGCTGCCATCGGGGCTGAGTGAGCAAAACGCGCAGAGTTGTAGGCCGAAAAGAATTTTAGCCCAAGCCTTTGATATCCGGGCGGTGCGGGACCGAATCGAGAAGGACCAGGCGAGGGGGGAGGCGACGCGACTACTGGGCAGTCTACGGCCTGATGCGGAGAGGGGGGGGGGGAGAGGCGGGGCCGTCGACGAATCCGGGCCCTGCCCCCCCCCCTCCCCGAGGGGAGACGAGAGCTAGGCCCCCCCTCACGAGCGGGGTGGACGGCCGACGCGTGGAGCCACGGCTGGAATGGCCGCAGAGGCAGGGGGCACCCCCCGAGGCCCCGCCCCAGGAGGTGCGGCAGCAAAACGCCGCAGAGTTGTGTGGCCGAAAAGAATTGTAGCCCCGGGCCCGCGAAAGAAGCCGCGAGAACAAGGGACCGACCGGCGGCGGCGCCGCAGGACGAGGCAGAAGAGAATGACGCGACAGAGGAGGAAGTGACAAGGGAGAGAACGACGAGAGTGGGACGGCCGCGAGGTGGCATGAAGGTTGCAGCGAGAAGCGGCGAGAGACTGCGAAGAGAGATAGGAAGAGGCAGACTCCCTAGGGTGGGCGACGGCTAGCGCATCACACCCCTCTCCTTAAAATCCCTGTGTGGTGGCGGCGTGCCGTCCTCCCATCCCTCCCTTGGATTGTCTGTTTTCTTTCTTTCTTTACTGGAGCCGCCTAAGCGACTCCGGCGAGGACGGCGAGGCACTTAGCTCCGTGTACTCGACCGCCCTCGCCGTTGGCAAGCTCATTCACAATCTGCTCTGCGATGGCCGTGTGAGAACGACTGAGATGCGCTGCTTCTGCAGCCCCAGCCAGCTCTTGGTGGTCCAAGTCACCTCATCGAGGTACTGGGCCCGCGTCAGCTTGTTCTGCAGCACGTTCGCCGCGTCCCAGAGGATCTCGCCGACCCCCTTCCCGAAAGTCAGCACACAGCAGCTCGGGCAACTCCCAACTGCACATATGCAGAACAGACATCAAGCCTGGGCTAAACCAGGCGTGATTGATGGAACCACGTCGGTGAAAAACGAAAAATTGCCCCTCCGCGAGACCTCGATAGAGTAGCGCTGAAGGCGCTCTTTTTGATTGAAAATAGTACCCCACGTCCCGACGGCCTTTGCCTGACATCCACAAGGAGGCGCCATTCACCGCACAACTGTGAACGGTGACTGAAGATCTGCACGTCAACGGGATCACACTCTACGCGGAGCGAGTCGTAAGGCAAGCCAGCACTTTCCTCGTCCGCTCGCGCTTGCCGCGCCGCATTGCGCCCGACTATGCCGCCGCGAGCTGCACGCCTAGACCCCCGCGACGTCTATTGCTCACGGAACCCGCCGCCCCCTCACCACCCCCACCATGCGATGCGCCCGCGCTCGTCGCGCGAGCGTCTGTACCCCCCTCGGCCTCACCGCCTGCCCACTCCCTCTCGCACGTACAGCCGCTGCCATCGAGGAAGCCGCGAGACGCGTCCGCTGCTGCCCATTCCCCACCCTTGTCCCGCGCGACCGCCCTCCCTCTCTTCTGGCAAGAGAGCGACCCGCTCGCTTGCTCGCCAATCGCCGCCCGGCTCCAGTCCGAGCGCCGAGGACGCGAGAGAGCGTGTCGGCGGCTTCGTCTCGACGCTCACGCCGCGACGTGCTGCCCGTAGGCGCGGCTCTCCTCTCTCCGGCTCCCTCTCTCTTCCCATTCAGCATGCACATGCACACCCCTCTCACGGGCGGCCCCCATTCTCTCTGCTCTGCAGGACGCGCGTCGAGAGGCGCTACATGGTCGACTTCGATGAGGGCGAGGGCGAGTCGGCTTTCTTGGTTGTGAGATCAACAAAGGGCGTCTGGTTCGACAACCCCCACGTGTTCCATCGGAGCCTCGCAAAGGTGCCAATCAGCTTTTGTTTCGCGGAGGGGGCCCAGGTTCAGACCGAGCTCGGGCCAACGGCTTCCGTCAAGGTCGGTGGCTACTTCGCTTCCCGTGCGGAGTATGAGGAGTGGTATCAGCGCCGCCGCGCGAGCCTGCCGCTGCCGCCTTCGCTCGGAGCTGAGGTGCGCACTTTTACGCCAGGATCGGCATTGTCCCTGCGGTGTCCCCGTCTCCAAACATTTACGTTTCTCCCTCGCGCAGGCGTGCGGCGTCAACAACGACGTCGTTGTGAAGGAGGAGGCCGCCACTCAGGAGGCTGCCTCCGAGGAGGCCGTCGTCGCCGAGGAGTTCGCCACCGAGGAGGCGGCCATCAAGTCCGCGGTGTCCGCCGCCGCGGCGCCCGTCGCCGAGGAGGCGCCCGTCGCCGAGGAGGCCGTCGCCGAGGAGGCTGCCAAGGAGATCGAGAAGCCGGCACCGGCCAAGACCGTTTCCAACCCGCCCGACAAGCGGCACATTGAGGTGGAGGACGACGAGTCGAAGTCGTGGAGGAAGAAAAACCGCCGCAAGCAGATCAAGCGGGTTTTGGCGGGGCTTGTGGCCATGGCGAGAGAGTCCGAGGCCTTCGCCTCCCTCATTCTGGCGTGGTCGTCGCCGCCTTCGCGCCTCATCATAGCCGAGGTGCACGCCAGGATCGTCATCGTCCCTCCGGTCTCTCCGAACACGTGCGCATTCTCCCTCACCCAGGCGCTCGGCATCAAGAACGACGATGTCGTGAAGGAGGAGGTCGCCACCGAGGAGGCCACCTCCGAGGAGGCCGTCGTCGCCACCGAGGAGGCCACCTCCGAGGAGGCCGTCGTCGCCGAGGAGTCCGCCACCGAGGAGGCGACCATCAAGTCCGCCGCCGCCGAGGTGTCCGCCGCCGCGGAGGCAGTCGCCGAGGAGGCGCCCGTCGCCGAGGAGGCCGTCGCCGAGGAGGCTGCCAAGGAGGTCGAGAAGCCGGCCAAGACCGTTTCCAACACGCCCGACCCAACGGTGAGCGCGCCGCAGCGTTCTCTCCTGGCACTCCTAGCCTTCCACCCACCCGTATTAATCTCTCTCCCGTGTTCCCCGCAGGAGTGGGCCGACCGGTCAATGGTCGTGGAGGACAGCTTCTACGCCTCCAAGCCGGTGTTTCTGACCAGCGTCGAGATCGGGTTGGCGGAGCCGCGCGCTGCGAAGATCATGCAGCGCGTCTCGCGCGGGCTGCTGGCGCGCAAGAAGGTGGCGCGCAAGAAGGTGGCCGTGAAGGAGGAGGCCGCCACCGAGGAGGCCGCCACCGAGGAGGCCGCCGCCAAGTCCGCCGCCGCCGAGGAGACCGCCGCCGAGGAGTGCGCCGCCGAGGAGGCCGCCACCAAGTCCGCCGCCACCGAGGAGGCCCCCGCCGCCGAGGAGGCCGCCTCCGAGGAGGCCGTCGTCGCCGAGGAGTCCTCCACCAAGTCCGTCGCCACCGAGGAGGCCGCCGTCGCCGAGGAGGCCGCCTTCGAGGAGCCCGCCGTCGCCGAGGAGTCCGCCACCGAGGAGGCGACCATCAAGCCCGCCGCCGCCGAGGTGTCCGCCTCCCAGGAGGCGCCCGTCGCCGAGGAGGCCGTCGCCGAGGAGGCCGTCGCCGAGGAGGCTGCCAAGGAGGTCGAAAAGCCGGCCAAGACCGTTTCCAACACGCCGGAAGGGGTGGTGAGCGCGCCGCAGCATTCTCTCCTGGCACTCTCCTCGCATATCACTTCCTGTCGTCTGTTGTTTGTTGTGCCCTTGTTAGTACTCCTTGGCACCGTGGAGTGCTGGGGGGGGCGACAGGGAGGATGTGGCCTTGAGTTATGTGTGCGCCAACTCAGGGTGTGTGGCAGCCAGCTGGCTGTGTGTCTTGTGAGCCTGTTTGTGTCTGTGTGTCGCTCGTGCGTGTCGTCATCATCTGTCCAGCGTCCACCCATACCGCGTTGGTGTCCAGTCCGAGCCTGGCTGTTCTTCACCTTACTACCTACCTACCTAACGGCTATCCGTGCTTGCTGTGCCCCTGCGTGGTGTGTTTCAAGTTCTTACAACCCAAGCGCCAAGGTGACAGAGGGCAAAAAGATCGATTGCGCTCTTGCCGATCCGCACCTACCTAGGCTCTTGGGTGGCGCGCCCCAGCTCTTCACAGCGAAGCCGGTTAGAATTCTTCTTGTCCTGCTGCGAGAGAGAGTTCCTTCGTTGAATTCTTCTTGTCCTCGTACAGTTTGGCGTCGAGGGCTGTTCCCACCTGTGTCATGTTCCTCGCGCTCCTCCTCGCTAGTGGATCGAGCATTGACGAAAGCGGACTCGCCAACCAGGTGAGGCAACGGGCAGCGGCGCTTCTCTCTTGCTGCCATCTGTGCTGCAACACGACGTCGCTCGTCGCTGGAGTGACAGCGCCAAAAGCATGGCCAAAGCGGGGCGGTGGGAACTGGCGGGACCTCTTGTTGCCCATCTCCAGGACACTTGATGACGCATCGCTGCTCGTGGATGGGGACGTCTACATCTTCGGGGTTGCAGCTGGGAGGTCCCTCCTGAGCTGGCGAGACATCCTGCTCCGCAACGAGGTGCGAACCTGGGGGGCGAGAAAGGGCACCTCCGTAGCTCCGCCGTTGCGCTCGCCACCCGAGAAGTGGTATGGATTCGACTCCTTTGCGGGCTTGCCGGAGACGAATCGCGACGAGAAGCTTGCGGGATGGCGCAGAGGCAGCTATCGTAATACACAACAAGGGCCTCGCGAGATTGCGCGCAGATACTTCAACGAGGACGACCGGCGCTCCTCTGGTATTCCGTTCAAGGTCTCGCTCGAGCTTATCCCAGGCTTCTACAATGATTCGCTGACTACCGGCATCATCGCGCAGTTTGACATGAGGCGAGCAACGTTTGTGGAGATCGACTGCGATCTGTACGTATCGTCTGTGCAGGCTTTGGACTTCATGTTTCGCAACCGGCTGATCGTCAGTGGCACTCTCATAGGCTATGACGATTGGTGGGTGGTCCCTTGCGTCGCCAAAAGCCGCTGGATATCAGCTCTTGAGGTCGGCGAGGGGTTGGCCCACGCGGAGATGGCAAAGCGCTACGATGTCGAGTTCATCTGCTTGGCGGGTCCCTGCAAGTTCCCCTCAGGTTCGTCATGGCCTAACATGCATGCGCACCGCGGCGCCTGGGGCGCCATCTTTCTCGTCGCGTCTATTGGCGCGGGGAAGGGTAGCCCAGGCTTCATGTCGCCGCGTGAAGAGCTCGCCTTCCGATCGTCGCAGTACTCTTGCGGCTATTAGGTGACGCTTTTATTCACTGTACAGCAGCTGTGGCTAGTATATGTCTGGCATATGTCGGCTAACCCTAGCCGGGGTCGTCCGATGGGGGACTAGCACTAGCCCAAAAGGGCCTTTGCCCTTTTGCGACAGAGAAAAAATGCCGCCGAGGACTCCTGAGGTTCGTGGCGGGAGCCGGGACGGGGGCGGGGGGGAGATAGACCTCGGGTCCTCGCTCTCCTGTCGTCCATCGGACGTGGAGACGCGAGGGTCGCCCCCCTAGCTAGCCCCACTTCCTTGTGATCAACTTGTGTGTGTGGAGAAGTTTACTTTACCTTACCTTACCTTACCCAGAGACGCTGGCCTGCGCTCTCGGGAGGCTTGCGCTAGAGTCCTGAGCCGCCTTGCTTACATGGGCGTGCCGTGCAGGATACACGCCCCACGGACAGCCACCGCCCCGACAGCCGCCAATGCCGCAGCCACACCGCCGCGCCGCCGCCGCCGCCGCACCTGACGCCGCCCGCTCATCGCTTGCTCCGCTTCTTCCCCCGCCCTCCCGCCGTCTTGCCGCGCGGCCTGCCCGCCTGGGGCGTAAGGTCAGGTAAACTTCTCCACACACACACAAGGTGGTGGGGCAAGGGCCAAGCGACCCTCGCGTCTCCACGTCTAGACGACAGGAGCCCCACGGCATTCAAAGTGCAAGGCCCAGTGCGCGTGGGTGAGCGGTGTGTGTGTGTGTGTGCGTGTGTGCGTGCGTGCGTGCGTGCGTGCGTGCGTGCGTGTGTGTGTGTGGGTGGTGGGGGGGTGCGTGCGTTTGTGCGTGTGTGTATGCCTGGGGCGGCGTCGCCGAGAGCAGCGCCTCGTCAAGGATCAACGGCGCGGCCTTGGGGGGCGCCGCCGCCGCCGCCGGCTCGCCGCCAAAGGCCGAGAGCATGCCACTCTCACTCGCGGAGGATGAGGCCGCCGTCGGCATCGGCGGCATGCCGACGAAGGAGCGGATCGAGGGCTGGCGCAGCGCGAGCCTGCGTGCTGGAATACGCCAGCCTCGGGGCGGGAGGACGGGTCGACTGCAGCGTGTTCAGAGCACCGCGTGAGTACGAGGGGTGCGAGCGCAGCGGAATACGCTACGAGCACGGCGGAGCACGTGCCTTCTCGAGCGCTGGTGAGAGTACACGAGTGCGTACTCCGCTTCTAGGTGCGAGATCTGGGGAGATCTGGGGAGATCTGGGGAGATCTGGGGAGATGTGGGGAGGTGTGGGGAGATGTGGGGAGGTGTGGGGGAGGTGTGGGGGAGGTGTGGGGAGATGTGGGGAGATGTGGGGAGATGTGGGGAGAGATGGGGAGAGACTCCGCTTCTAGGTGCGCGAGCGTCTGCGTGACGGCGAGCGCGTTGGCGGTGAGCCAATAGATGAAGACGCCTGTTCACAGCTAGAGGTGTGAAGAGACGCTGTTCACAGGCCCAGCTGCGGTGAGCCAATAGATGAAGACGCCCGACTCGAACCAGGCGGTGGCGGGGACGATGACGACCGCTGCGCCTCGCATCACATTCTTGACCATCTGCTGCTGCGCGTCCGGCTTGGCGCCGGCCTGGCCCAGACGGGGTGGGGAGATGTGGGGAGGTGTGGGGAGGTATGAGGAGGTGTGGGGAGATGTGGGGAGGTGTGGGGAGATGTGGGAGATGCGGGGAGGTGTGGGCGAGGTGTGGGGAGGTGTGGGGAGGTGTGGGGAGGTGTGGGGAGGTGTGGGGAGGTGTGGGCGAGGTGTGGGCGAGGTGTGGGGAGGTGTGGGGAGGTGTGGGCGAGGTGTGGGGAGATGTGGGGAGGTGTGGGGAGGTGTGGGGAGATCTCCGCCTGGCCCGCATCGCCGAGAGAGACCATGCCAAACCTACGTCCCATACATCCAGAGTCTCGAATCCAGTGTGGGTTCAGCTGCTTGGGTGGTGCGGTGTCGGCGAGTGAGACCATGCCGAACCCCCGTGGCGCGTCAGCGCCTCAGGGCGGGGAGACGGAAGCGTGCAGAGTGTTCAGAGCACCGCGTGAACACGAGGGATGTGAATACAGCTGAGAACACGGCGGAATGGGCGGCGAGCATGTCGGATAGGGCGAGATACGGGGAGATACGGGGAGATACGGGGAGATACGGGGAGATACGGGGAGATACGGGGAGATATGGGGGAGATCTTCCGCTTCTAGGGGCGGCAGACAGAGAGAGGCCCGAGAGGACGGGGAGCATGTAGTACGGGTCGTGTTGTGTCAAGTCCGGGAACCAGAGCATCCTAGAAGCAGAAGACGCCAGCCTCAGGGAGATATGTGGAGATATGAGGAGATATGGGGAGAGCATCCTAGAAGCAGGAGACGCCAGCCTCAGGGCACGGGCGACGGGCTTGTGCAGCGTGCCTCGGAGCAGCGCGTGAATACAACGGCGAGGAGTACAGCCGGAGTACAGCGGAGCAGCGCTGAACACGCCTCCTCTCGATCTCCCCATATCTCCCCATATCTCCCCATATCTCCCGGTATCTGGCAAGCATGTGCTCCGATCTCCCCATATCTCCCCATTCTCCCGATTATCTGGCAAGCATGTGCTCCGATCTCCCCATATCTCCCTCCCCCCGGGCGCTACTTGGGAGACGTGAACACGTCTTCCGCTTCTAGCGAGAGCAACCCTCCCTCGCTCAGCCCGACGCCGTCGACGTACACCATCTGAAGAAAGAACAGTAAGAATGGTAAGCATAAGACTACTACTCAGAAAGACGGAGAGGAATGAGAATCTCCTCGCCTTTCGCAGCGCGAAGAAGAAGGAGACCCACACCTGCTCACAGCTGCAGGTGTGAAGAGACGCTGTTCACAGCTGGCGAAGAAGAAGGAGAGCCACACCTGCTCACAGCTGCAGGTGTGAAGAGACGCTGTTCACAGCTGGTGAAGAAGAAGGAGACCCACACCTGCTCACAGCTGCAGGTGTGAAGAGACGCTGTTCACAGCTGGCGAAGAAGAAGGAGAGCCACACCTGCTCACAGCTGCAGGTGTGAAGAGACGCTGTTCACAGCTGGTGAAGAAGAAGGAGACCCACACCTGCTCACAGCT